TATCTTGCCCATTATGTGATACTGACAACATTTGGACACATGTTCTGGACTTGATGAAATAACAATCATTAATGCTGTCAAAAATTATTGTACTTTTTTTACTGTTCCTGAAATGTACTGGACTGCCCATCACAGACTAATGGCAGTCATATCAAGCTCTGGTGTAAGATAAAATTTAAAAAAAAAAAAAAAGAAAGAAAGAAAAGTTGTTTGAAGACACATTTCCTAGTCAGCCAAGTGATATAACACCTTTTGATGATGGCTAAGCACAATAAGTTTGATTTCCATGAATAATGGTTGCTACAAGTGAAAGGTGAATATCTGTGATTAAATATGAAAAGACGTGTATGCACAAATATTGCAAGTTTACAATCCCTTTAAGCCTCAAAGCCACAACAGAATAACTTATAAGGAATTGTCAGCATGTGCATCAGAAAGCAGATGAATGGTCAATCTGTTTGTGGATAAGTCAAGACTTGCACTGGAATCCGATAATAAATGTGCAAAGATCTGGAGAGAAAAGGAATACAGAACAAATTAAGTAGTCTCACGTTACACTACACCTTCAAGACTGAACTTTAGTTGAGCTATTCCACTGACTTCTTTATATGAAGCATGGCTCAGAAGTACCAAAAAGAAATCCTAGATACCACTGCGAGATTGTATGCAACATTAGTTGGTCTAACATTTATTGTGAAATGCATGTTTGAAAAGAAAGATTGATTTTAATGAAATATGTAGGTGGCGCTGGCATTTTTGACTACTGACGCCACCTATACAACTTCGTAAATGTGCTAAACAGTTCAGTTGTTGTCGGAGTACTGTTATGTGAAGTTGTCATTGCATTATGTCAGAGTTAACAGACTTCGAACATGGGCAAATTGTTGAAGCACGTATGGTAGGTGCTTCCGTAAGCAAGGTAGACGAGGTGTTTAGTGTTTCAAGAGGTACTGTATCGAAGATTTATTCCGCATATTTGAAAAGTGGAAAAACATCATCTGCTAAATCACAGTTACTGCTGAAAATGAATGTTGTGTTACCGAACCCTGTGAGTACCAAAACAATTAGAAGGGAGCTTCATAAATAGGGAATTGCTGGCTGTGCTGCAATTGAGAAGCCACTCATCAGTGATGCCAATGCCCGTAACAGGAAAAGGTGGTGTTTAAGTCATAAAGCCTGGACTATAGAGCAGTGGAAGCGAGTAATATGGTCTGACGAGTCTTCTTTCACATTGTTTCCCACTTCTGGCCAAGTTTATGTCTGGAGAACGCCATCTCAAGCCTATAATACAGACTGCTTGTTGCCAAGAGTGAAACATGGTGGGGTTCTGTTATGGTTTGGGCAGCCATATCGTGGTTCTCTGCTAGCCCCATGATAACTGTGTCAGGGCACATGACTGCCAAGACTTATGTGAACATTTTGGCCGATCAAGTTCATCCCATGGTACAAACTTTGTTCCCCGATGGTGATGGTGTCTTCCAAGACGACAAAGCCCCTGTTCACACAGCTCACATTGTCCAGGACTGGTTTTCTGAGCACGAGGATGAGTTGTCCCATCTCCCCTGGCCACCACAGTCACCAGACCTGAATATTATCGAACCTTTGTGGTCTACATTGGAACGGAAAGTGCGTTCTCGTTATCCACCGCCAACATCGTTATCTGAACTTGCCACCATTTTGCAGGAAGAATGGTATAATATTCCCTTGGCAAACATACAGGAACTGTATTTATCCATTCCGAGAAGACTGCAAGCTGTTTTGGATGCCAACGGGTTTCCTACACCATATTAAGCAAAGAAACATGTTTTTTTAAAGGTGTTTCCATATTTTTGTCCACCCCCGTAAGTTAATACATGTTTCACATAAAGCGAACATGGTGGATGAATATCATGAGAGTGAAGGAATTCTTCACATAGAGTGTCCACTATGTTCATCCATCCTCAACATCATTAAGGACCTTCAAGTTATCATTAGGCATATGCTTTCTCTGTTAGTTTACTTCTCCAAATAATTTGAAAGAGCTAGGAAACTGCCTTACTAGAGAAATGGTATTTATTGCCCTCTGATATACTTAACAACTTAAAATTAAGGGCAAAGAATGTCACTACATAACAAAATATCTACATCTCAGAGGTCAGAGATGGTTACATCCCTTATAAATTTTGTTGAGGTTATACTATGTAATATACATATGAAAGAAAAAATTATGCAAAATAAAATTTTCATTTTTATTTGTAACAGCTCCTTACATCCCCTATTTAATTTTGTTATTTCTCCTTTACGACCTAAAAATAATAACATGCGTATAATAAATCTGTACCCTCCCCATTTCAGAATTAATCCATCACGTGATTCTTATGCAGGATGTTTAAATATGGCATGTACAAACTTCTGGGAGAGGTATGTTGGTCGAAAATGAAGCATAATCATGTAGTTCACTCCCGCCCCCCAGTGGGAGAGCAGTAAGATTGCTGAACACTGCTAGTTTGGGATGGATTCGAATTCTGGTGAATGGGCAGGCTGCATGGAATTTTTCATGTTTTTTTGTTGAATAACACAAATATAAGAATTTCCCCATGAAGGCATCCTTTCCCTTAGGAAGGTAGGCCTTGTGTGCATTGCCATAATCCATGTGAAATTACTTAACTATATATCTATGCAAGATCAGAAATGCCATCATCGCTTGCTATTGAGCACAGAATATGACAAATGAAAGAGCAACATATAAGTGAACATACACAATACACACATTTAAAAAATACACTGAGGTCATAGAAATTGTTTCAAAACTGCATCCAAGAGCTGGTATATGGCATCATGGACATTCTGGAAGATTCCAGATATATCTCGGATGGCCCTACAGAGATGTATGCAACAAGATTCTCAGCCCTATCTATGGGATTTTTTTACACCAGAACTTTCAGGTCCCCCCCTTCCCCAGAAAAAGTAATCAAGTCAAAATAAGTCAGGATGACATGTATAGGCAAACAAATGAGACTGCCATGCTTCATTCATCATGCCACATATAAATGTGTTGAAGAAATGTCATTAACAAAACAAGTGGGGGACTCGTCATTGTGGAACCACGTTTTATGCCCGAATGACTGCTGGTTATGTTTCTCACTTAGCAAAAGATAACATCTCCTTCTTACTCTTTCCATCATTTAGCCAACGGTTATAGAAGTGTTGTACATGCTGAAATGCAAACATAAAACAGCCTTTTTAAAAAATAGCCTTTTCAAAATCTATGCTAAATTTTCTGAACAAAGGAAACCATTCAAGAAGTTTTGAAATATTTTAACATAAAATCAGCTGTATATAGCATCACAAGGCCATGAGAGGACAGGGCTGCTGATATTTTTAAAAATACTTATAACAAGCTACCATAGTTTATGATGATAATAACAGTATTGAACTTGAAGGTTTCTAGATATCATAGGCAAAAGACAAAATTTATGATAAAATGCGGAGCAATGATAATAAATGAAGATGATATAACAAAGTTTTCCATTGTAATAACAATGTCTCAATCAATCAACTAACAGACAGCAAAATTTGTAGTTGGTTTTAAATTCAGAAAATATTGCTAGTGAAGCAAGTGACAAAGAGGGTTTTGGAAATGGAAAGATTTTGACTGACAGTTTAGAGGCAGTTCTCCACCACCACAATTACAGGACTTGAACAATGGGACATTTTAGTTGAGCAAATTATGTCTATCTAGAAAATTAAAGAGGGAGTATTATCAAGGGAAAAAAATTATATTTTTAATTTCATAATTTCTACATTTCACCTTAATAGATTTAAAATGATGATGTAAATTCCCAAAATCAGGAATTGCTAAATTTTGATAATTTCAGACCTCAAAGCTACAAACTTTCTGCGCATGCGTCAACGCATAATGCGTTCACACATGCTCATAATACTTGTACGCATGCACATGTATTGTGTGTGCATGCGCATAATACGTTTACGCATGCGCGTTTAATGTATAACGAACGGTATAAGCTAAGCTAAAATTATCTAATTATCTATTTCAGTTAATGTTGCAGATTGCATAGTTCCTTAATCTTCGAATTTGATCCGGTTTATTATTTTTTGCAGACTGTTAGAGCAATTTTATAAAAGTAAGCTTGAACTTTCGATTATGTCGAATAGAATTTCCAATGCTGGAGCTGCCAAAGGATTTAGAAAGTGAAAGTATGTTTAGATGTCCATCAAACAAAAAGTGGAATTGCTGAAAAAAATGGATAAAGGCATATCCTTTGTTTCTCTAACCATTCCGAAATCTGTTTATCAATTTCAAGCTGCTCTATGGTGGGGGAGGGGAAACACCACAATGAATTGGAAGTTGATGTGTTAGCACTATTCTTTCAGGGCAGATTTTTTTTTTTTTATTTGGCTTATAATTCCTAACTAAATGTAGTATTTCATCTCGATGTATTCCGTCTTTGATATGATTTAAATCAAATTCCTGGTCATTATAAATATCACGAGTACACATCAAATATTTTTCTGGTTGCAATTTTCTAATTTCGACTATGCGTAATGTATGCTTCACGCATGTGCACATTGAAAGAAATGTTTAATAAAGTAAACAAATAAATATAAAGTTTTTTTTTTTTTTTTTTTTTTTTTTTTTTTTTTTTGTAAATTTTGATACCCTTTAGATCATAATTGCTCTTTATTTCATAAATTATGGTTTAATATTTTTAATTTTATAATTTCTGCATGCCATCTTACCAGAATTAAACTGATGATCTATAATCCGGATAATCCGGAATCGCCGAAGTCCCGATGGGTCTGGATTAAAGACTTTTGACTGTAAAACTTTTCATCATTTACTTCCACAAGATTAATTTCAAGGGGGAAAAAATATTAAAAGGAGCTAATGGCACAGTCTGTGCAATGCACGAAAATGTTTTCTTCTCTCACTTATTTATAAAGAACTTAACATACTAAAAAAATAATTTCAAGGTGAGAAACTACATAATATTATGTACCCAGTTTTTCTGCAGCTTCTTCAGCTTCATCTGGAGTTCTGGCCACACCAAATTTAGGAACTTTTACTCCAGCACTTGCTAGTAATCCTAAACTAATATGCTCATGGAGATTCAGATTTCGTTGAGGAACATAATTATACAAGATACTGCCTTTTATCTGAAAAAGAAATACAATACATTTATATATATATATATTTACAAGATTATGCAGTATTATTTATTTAACAGATCTTCTTTTAAAATGAATTCTTTCATTAATATGTCATTATGCAATATTTTGAAGCAACTAAGTGCATCAGGCCAAAGTCTGCATTTCAAGCACAAATTTCATCCTTGCAAAAAATTATCTAAAGTAATTTTTTGCAAGTTACCAGGATTCTGAGTTTTGTACATATTCTTCTGACAGAACTAGGAATGTTGCACTCTTTTGTGTACCTTTTTGTATCTACATAATCTTCACATCTGTTTTTTAATCCAAAAGCTCTCTTCTTTTTGTTCACATGTATGCACACCATCAAAGAGTACTTGTTTTAGAATACTTAGTGAAAAACTGTAATTAACAGATTTTGACACTGAAAAAAGAAGCTGTTCACACACTAGCACATTATTCCAGAAGCCTGTTTTACATATTTTTCCACTCAGAATCATTCAGAGGATATATAAACTTAATATATATAAACTTATTATACACTATTCAGAAAATATATATTCAGAAAAATGAATACAGGTATGAAAAATATACTTTGGTTTTTAGCTAACACCTACAAGTAATGACATCAGATTTTGATTTCTCGTAATTACTCTAGTAACCGTACAGGATATTTTGATTCACTTAGAAAGATATATTTTTACTTCTTTTTCTCTCCTCATTAATACTCTCTTTTGTGTGTACGGGAGGAGGACTAAGCAAGGATGGGAATGGCTTTTTTTTACTTGTATTTCAACATCAACTTACGACCAATTAAAACAAGTACCTACAGCAACTTATTATTTCCAAGCACGTGGTATTTTACTAAAAAATCACATGCCTTCCAATTCTTAAGCAGCTTGCTAGGATGTAATGCAATCCTTTTGTCTGCAAATATTTTTTATTCATACTTATTTTACACATGGTGCATATACAAAAACACAGTCATTGTGCTACCATAACTCAAAATCAGGCTAAAATTATTGATGAAATTATTTTATATACTTATTTTGCTCTTTTCTTTTTGGTAAACAAAAATACATCAACAAGCATTTTAGTTTTTTTTTTTTTTTTTTTTTTTTCTATTAAATTTTGATAAAACTTGTATTAAATAGTTCCATATTTTGTTTTTACAGGGTTCGTACACATTTCTGCACACTGAAATTAAGTACTTTTAAGGACCATTAATGAAAAACATTGAGGACCTATGAGCAAATGGGAACTGAATTAATTCAATTAAAAATATTATATCTATACCTGAACTTCACTTTTTAATACCATCCTAAAAATAAAAGAGATCCCTAAGTAGGATGCATTATTATTAAACATAACTCAATTAACATAATTATTAATACATTTGGGAATAAAATAAATATTATGAAATTTATCAAGTAGCATTAAATATTTTACACTTATAATAACTGGACATATTTGAAAGAAGGTAAGTGACATATTAGTTACGTTTTACTGTCTCATTTTGTCACATACTTGCTCAGTCTAGAGGTTTAGTAAAAAGTAAGTAGATTTTATGTCAAGCAACATAGGTTAAAATGAGCAGTAAAATCACAATCAGCATAATTCATACCAAACGACTGGCTGTTATCAACACTCCTGCTTGCCTAGAGAGAGACCTGCTGATCAGAACAAACCTGAAATACCTGATGTAGGCACAGTTAAACAAGTTTTGAAATTTAGCTGAGCTCTGTCTGACACGGTTAATGTCGTAGCTTCGTATAGACTTCCAGGGGTTGTAACTCAGTTAATATACTTTAAGTATCTATTAAGCCACTAAATACTCTCTACAGCAGTAGAGGTGATAAGTTGTTTTGCATTATTTTAAGCCGCACTAGATACGAAGAATAAGTTTTACATGAATTTTTATATTTTTGCGTTTTATCTTGTGGCCATGATAAAGGTTAATGAAAGGCAATAACTCGCTTTAATATTCAGAGATAATTTTTAAAGGTAAGCACTTAGTTATAAGTAATTAAATTAGGTATTAGATAACCTTAGCCATTATGTATTTGCATGGCTACTATTAAATTAAATTTATTTTTTAACAATACGTCTTTGTTAAAAACACCCTATTAATATCACTACCTAATGAAATTTCACAGTTTAAAATATATACAATTTATGACACTGATTTTTAAAAATTATTAGGATAATTACACATTAAAAGCTACAAAACAAAATAATTATGCGTCTTTCTAATTTGAAGACCTGCCTAGATATTTTGGCTACTTTATATTGATTTCCTTCTCCTTAAGCATCTTTTCTAACAATTAAAAATTTATCTCAATAGGCAAAACAATGTTCTCATTAGGTTCTGCATGTTTTATCTCCTAACTGGCAACCTCTCCACAATGAGAGTCTACTATCAGGGTTTACTTGATCTGGTAAAAGTTAAATAGTCCAATGCCACCCCCCCCCGGACAGACGTGAAACAAATTATCATAATGTCTGAAAGTAACTTCAAATCAGAGGTTTAAATAAGTTTCTTATTTAAAAGGAACTTAGAACATAAAGGCATGTTCTTACTCTAATAAAATCAATTACAACTCATGGTGATGTAATTAAACAAGACAAGTGAAATTCAAACTAAAAATATGGACTAGTGGTCAAAGAACTGAAATGTCGGCAGCGGTAATGGAAAGACTAATAATTACAAATTATCAGAGCTGACAGGAACTAATGCAGGGAGCAAGAGGAGGTCAGAAACACACACTTGTCTTACATTCCAAAAACCTCAGTTTAAAACTGTCTAAGTGATTCGCATTCTCGCGGGGAAATAGAAATGGGAAATTATAGTAAAGGTTGAAAATGTAAACAGCTGGGTCATTTACATAATAATAACTGTATATATCTTTGAAGAATAATTTTCTTTTTCTTCACATATTTAGTTCCTTTCTTCAACATGTTTCCTTTTCACTTTAAAACTTTTTGATTTAATTAAAGATTTCTGTTATTCTAAAAAACTAAATGCATTTAGAATGTATGGAAAAGCTGCTAATTTTATTTCTTTAGTAATACGAACATTCAGAAGAAATTTGAAATACATATGGTAAGGTCCGGTCACAGAGCTGGTGTGTCATAATTATTAGAATTTAGTGACGCACCGAGCAACAAAATCTAGAAAAGGCAAAACTTTTAGAATTTAGAGCAGGCATTGGAAGCAGAATTTAGAAAGGCACCAAGCAGCAGAATTTAGGATCCACAGAGACTGCGTCAGGTGGGAAAATGCTTAGCGCCAGCAATGTGTATGATGCATTAAGACATATTAGATGAATCTTTTGAATTGTCAGTTTTCAATTTCTTTATTAATAAAAAATTCCTTTCTATAATGCCTGCCCATATGATAAGATTAGAAGCATTTTTGATATTTTCCATGCTTGTGTATAATGAAAAGTAGAAAGAATAAAGGGAAGATAAAAATGTTAAGAAAGCGATTCTAGTATCATAAGCAAAACATTCAACTACAGTACAAAGTCTTTAATCCAGACTCGTCGGGACTTTGGCAATTCCGGATTAAGGGTTTTTCTGGATTATAGATCATCAATTTAAATCTGGTAAGATGGCATGCAGAAATTATAAAATTTAAAATATGAAACTGTAATTTATGAAATAAAGAGCAATTATGATCTAAAGGGTATCAAAATTTACAAAAAAAAAAAAAAAAAAAAAAACTTTAACATTTATTTATTTTATTAAACATTTCTTTCAATGCAAGTTGTTTAAGTTGCTTCGTTTTATGTGCTAATACTTTCTCTTTAACCTGGCGTTGCTCGCGCCAGGCTTCCGAGGCCTGATCAGTTTGTTAAAGCTATGTAAACCCTACCCCTTAATACTGAAAGGAAGCACACCCGGTCTAGCTGAGTAAAAGGTTACCTTTGACACAAAGGACGCGTTTCCGGAATTTTCTTTTATTCTGTTCGGACAAAAAGCCATTTTTCGGGTCGCTTAGGCCAGGCACAAGTAAACGTGTTTCTAATTTCGAGCTTGAAATGCACTGAGTTCCTAGCATAACATGGCTCGCAGATTAACATATTATGAAGAAGTGGAATGACTACGTACTTTGCTAGATGAAGTATTGACTGATGACGAATCTATCAAAGGTGATGATTTATTCTCTGATTGCGATGAAAGTTTTAGTCAGCATAATAAGTTGTCTGAAGAATAAATCGAGTCTGATGAAGAGGATGCTACTGATTCTAATTCAGTTGATTGTTTTGTCAACTGAATTGGAAAAGATGGAAATCAATTTGGAAGAAAACAAAATTTCGTCAAAATGTTCGAACTTTATCACGAAATATCATTTCAAAGTTGCCTGGAAATGTTAGAAGGGCAAAAAACGTAACTTCTCCTCTTGAGTCTTGGAGTTTTTTACTGGATGATCTTGAATACGATTGTCACCTGTACAAATATATACAGTCAAAAGTCGTTCATCCGGACACGTTGGGACTTCGGTGATTCCGGATTATAGATCATCAGTTTAAATCTGGTAAGATGGCATGCAGAAATTATAAAATTAAAAATATGGAACCATAATTTATGAAATAAAGAACAATTATGATCTAAAGTGTATCAAAATTTACAAAAAAAAGCTTAATATTTATTTGTTTACTTCAACATTTTGGTACTTACGTATTATTGCAACCAGGTTGGCACGATTTGTAAGTTTGAGTAAAAAAGTATGAATAGAAAGAAAATGTACATTTATTAATTACAGATAATTTTTAATACAGTTTTTTATATTATTTTGGCTTAAAATATAAAATAGAAATTAAACCCTTCCGGTTTCGAATTTGAATAAGTTGCAGAATTATTTTTTCGGCGGAAATCTTTTGGCTATTGCTTTTAGCACTGATTGAAAACCGTCTTCGCCATTAACAGCTTGAGCTTGGCGCCATATAAATTCCATAAGGTACGAGTCAAGATGATGACGGGCTGTTCCTCTCTGTTTTTTGTTG